ATTTTAGGTATTTAATGTTTTGGGTTTGTTCTGGGAGTGATGCATCTTGGGAATGTACAGTAACTTTAAACCTTAGTAACCAGAATAATGTTTCCGCATTATAGTGTTTAAAAAGTCCAAACAACCTTAAACATTGTTTGATCAAGTCTGATGACAAATTTATTATGAAAAATGTGCAAAGCGCACAGCAACAAACTTGCGTAAATGTGTATCTTGTTTTGTCTTCTCCTGTAGCTTGATAAACATTTATCTGAATGTCCCCTACAACCGAGTGAATGTAGTTTCCAAGAATATGGATGTAATTATAGGGTAAGTGGAAATAACTAATTTATTTATTCAATAATATTCACACAACACTGAGAGGATGGATAGATAGAAAAGGTTACAACGACAGGAAAATGTAAACGGAAGAATAAAATTTTATCTCAATACTTTAGGGGAAATTTTATGGAAATAAAAAAAATTTCTAGATTTTTGTAGAAATAAAAAAAAATGCAAATTTGCTTTTTCCTTAAAAAATTATATTACCTTTAATAATTGCATTTCAAATTTTTGGGATTTGGGTGGGGGGGGGGGGTTATGGCCTTACTTTAAGATTTTATTCTTAAAAAATAGTGTTAACTATTATAAATTGCAAATATTCTAATTACACTGAAATAAAAAAAAAATTCTAACATACCCCGGTAAGTGGAATTTCTGAAATTAGTCAGAACGCTATTAAAAACAAATTTGATATATAATTATAGTATAAATAACATCACACTAATTCAATATTCAAACATCGCAAATGGGAACACAAAAACAAAACTGAACACACTAAAAATCCATGATCAAATCAGCCAGTTGAGTCAACCTAAAGGTGTACATTCTATAAGGGAATTAATGTCAATCAGATGGCCTATTTGAATTGTCTCTTACGTCTCTTTACATGTTTCGTATCATTGAGATTCGAAAGGAATTCTTGTGGGACACTATTTATAGCTATGTATTTATTGCATTGCCAGTTGGCCATTTCTCGAATATTTAATTTATTACATAGATTAAACTAAAAGGTTATTTTTATGAAGAGCATGTATGTTAATTGTTCTGTAGATGTGAGAACTATTTCTGACCTTTTCACCACCAGAATTTCTCGTCCAAAATTTGTCTGCACTTATTCTTATTCTTATTCTTCAATATCCTGGAAATGAACCCTAATATTGCAGGTAACAAAATTTGAGTCAATTTCCAGTTTTTACTCAAAAAAGTTGGCTATTTTTGTCTCAATATTGTAAAGGAAAGTGCAGAATATAAACAGGACTATTTTGTGAATTTGTGATAAAAAAAGAGAACTGATGGTGAAAAGGTTAGTATATAATTATAATGAATTGATGGCATGCATGATATTTATTTTTAATGATGTCTAGACAGGAAATAAATACACATGATTCCAGATGCATGAAATCATGCGTTCCATGTCATATGACTCATTGTACATGTCAATGAATGATTATACTAACGAATGTGTCATGGGATTTTTGATTGCAGGGACAAATCATTGATATTCAACATCATTTGAGTACAGCTTTATCAGAACATATGCAAATGATTTTGAGATCGCATGAGGATTTGCAGTTAAAACATGCAGAGCTCGACAGGAAATATTCAGAACTCGATAACCAGAAAAGTATTGTCGATAATAAATTCAAACAACAATCAGAAGAACTATGTGAAAGTAAACAGAAAAATGTGAAACTAGAAGAAAGAGTCAAAGATTTACATGTAGGTGTTTGTTATACATACGAATCTGTATCTTCTTCTTGAAAACTATCAGGACAATTACTACAGAATTTTAAAGTAGTTTTCCTGTAATTAAATGTGAATGCACTTGATGTTAAGCATCACTGTTGTTGAAGATCACATAGTGAAGCTGCTCATATACAATGTACTAGTATTAAGGTGTTTGTCTGTCATCCTCCGTCCGTCCGTTCGTCCGTCCGTCCGTCCATCCGTCCGTCCGTCCATCATCCACAATTTTTTTATTTCTTCTTGAAAACTACCAGGCCAATTACATTCATACATGGCAGTGTTTTCAATATGCAATATTTTTGGTGAATATTTTTGTTGTTTTTGCCAATTTCTTGAAAAAAGACTAGCTCAATTTCATTTATACATGTACTTGACATGTAGGCCTTTTGGGAGGACCTTTGTTCATTTTGGGATGATATTTTTAGTGAATAATTTTGTCCTTAGTAAAAAATGTTATTTTTGACTTTTTCTTGACAACTTGTAATACATTTGGTGTTTTTTTAAATGTTTAGTAATCATACATGTATTTTTTTACACTATTGTTTCGTTATTCTGTGTTGATTCACTATACAGCACTTATTTGATCATAATAGTGGAGACAATTGTCGATTTCACTTTCACAGTATCTGCATACTTCTATTAGGCTGAAAAAAAAATATCTCTGTTTCTCATTTTCGTGCACATTATTTTGAACTATGCGCCTCAAATGTTTGTTTTTTCCTTCTAAAGCATTCCAAAATGTGCTTGTACTTGCACTTGTCTCAAATTTCCCCAATTTCAGCTCAGTATTCAAAAAAAAAAAAAAAAAATCACCTCGCCATTTTAAAATTTCCTGAAACGAGAAACAGATTTTTTTTCCTGGCCTTAGCTGTATTACACTACATTACACAATAGGGTTTGTTCAATACCTAGTGTTCATGTGACAGAATTCATAGTGATGTCAGTGTGATCAAGGGTTTGGATTCATTCAAAATATCCTTGTCACCATCAGTTACCTCGTTTCATCACAAATTCAAAGTTTTTTGAATAACAACTGAGAATTGATTCAAATTTTGTCTGTTGGCTCCAAAATTAGGGTCATTTCCAGAAATAATGAAGAATATAAGAAAAAAGTGCAACAAAATTTGGGCGAGAAAGTCTGGTGGTGAAAAGTGTAATCATGCATTACTGAAGAAATAATTAATAATTTTAGTATTTCTGTGAATTTTAAATAACTATGTATTGTTTGTTTGTTCTGCAGAAAACACTCGCCTTACAAAATGATAAAATAATAAAACTAGAACATGACTTGAAGGAGAAAGCTTCAAAAGCTGAAGTGGATACAAACAGAATGTTAGTGCATGCCGTACAGGAATCATGTGCAGAGTTGATGAACAGAGTAGAACAGATTGAGGGAAGACCTGTTGTCACATCTACGGGCGGTGCAAACTCTGCCGATGTCAGTAAGTCAATTACTATATATGGGAATCAGTTTGTGATGTCAAAACTGAAAATTGGAAATTATTCTTTTCGCCGCCAGATTTTCTTGCCCAAATCCTGCATTTTTTTTCTTATATTCAATATTTCTGGAAATGAACCCTATTTTTGCAGCTAACAAAATCTGAGTCAATTTTCAGTTTTTACTCAACATATTTGGCTATTTTTGTCCCAATCTTCTGAAGGAAAGTGCAGACTATAAACAGGACTATTTTAAAAGAGGGAACTGGTGGTGAAAAGATTAAGCACACAAAAATAGAAAAAGGTTTTAGAAAAGAACTTTGATTCATTATCTACTGTAAAATACTTTATTTTCGCTTGGAATTAATTTTCGCTATTTTCAATGAAGGAATGATTCAGTGCAAAATAAAATCCAGCGAATATACCTTTTTTCCTACATTTTACATTTAACATGCCAAAAATCAGTGAAAAATAAATTCCATACAAAAAACCCAAAAAGCCTTTTCAGCAAATATTAATGCCAGCTAAAATAAAGTATTTTACAGTATTTTTACCTTGCCCGTACCATCAAAGATGGAAGGGAAAGGTGTATTAAGGGAAAGATTTTGTCTGGCGTTGTTGTTGTTGTCGTCGTCGTCGTTAATAATTGTTATTGTGTGCATAATGACTTTACTAAATTCTATTCCAAACTTCATCAAACTTGGTCACCT